GCTCATCCCACGATTTGTCATTGCTAGCAGTTGATTTGCTCCCTAAAGTAGCTCCTTTCTCTCCCCAGGTCAAAGACAGGTCACTTGTTAGATAGGGACCACCTCCCAATGGCCCTTTTGTCTGGTACGACACAGCTCGCTTTTAAACAGCGAGTCAGCATGTCTTCACAGCCAAAGTCAATTAGATGGAGGTGTTGACTGACCATTAACCATTCGCAATCCAAACAGAATCCTTCGACGCTGTGCTGTCTTCGCCTTCGATTGGTCTTAGTTACGTATGTAAGGATTCCACCTTTTAGACGGAATTCCTCTAGAATTCTCCTGCCCTGCAGACTCGTCAGTTTTGCTATTCAACCATATGAAAGACTGCATACTGTGACCACAAAAAGACCTTGCCATCATCGCATCTCTAGGATCAACATGCTTGTGAAATAAGCTGTAGTCCTCTTCACTGGTTATTTCCTTTTGATATGAACAACACGAGAACGAAGGTTTTGCCTGCACTGCATGAGCCGAACCTAGCACCTCGATCTTCGATTACAGTAAATAGACTTATCTTCTACGATTATAGGGGCTCTAAAAACATCGGCAAAATTTCCCGCGTGACCCTGAGAGTCCTGGGCCGCCCTGGGCTATTAAGGTAAGTCTGCGTCTCACGCAGCCCATGAGACCTCTGGGCTCGCTGGGTTACTCTAAGAGAGCTCATGAGCTAGTCTAAGAGAGCCCCGGGCTAGTATATATAATTATACTGTAACAGAGCACTTCAGGTTTCGGCGTGCACGTGTAACAACGCACAGAGGCCTGTCCAGCAGATCGGGAAGCGAGAACGCGTTTCTGCTTGATACTGACGAGACAACACCACCGCTAACACCACCCAAAGGGGGCAGCAGCTAGGGCTACGCACACCTAGCACAGCGGCAGCATCGAGGAACAAAACAGAACTGATCAAACACCTAAGAATAGATTGACGGTACCAAAACCATTGAATTCACGATGCTCCTTCAAAACTGTCAAGAATGGCACTCTGCCAGCACTGTAAACTATCCTGCTCCCAGCGATCTAAGTAGGTTTGACATGTGACCTAACAGACCTCTGCCCTATCAGTCCACCACCAGCCCAGCATAGTTACGTCGCCTTGTTACAATACGGGTCGTTTAAATTAGTACTAATTAAGATTATAATATATAAGAATTAGAATATATATATATATATATATATATAAAATATAAGGTTTCGTAGTAAATCATAAATTATTAGCTAGATAGAGTTAATATTCATTAAGTTAAAGACTTAGCGAGTTATTCTCTTTTTACGTAAATCTTATTTTCTTAATAGAAAAGATTTTTTTTAAATTTAATAATATTATATAATAAATATATTATAAAAGTTACTAAAAATAGATAGTCTATAAGAGCTTATAGCCTAGATATAAGAGCTGTGAGCGACGGTGAGCTCCCTAGCCCCCCTGGATATATAAGAATGCTGTGAGCCGCGGGGAAAACTGCTAATGAGATAAATGACTAATTAAAAAGGTTCGAGTAAGTTTTAATCTTATAGTAATAAAGATATAGTGTTAGAGCTACTACGGCATTATCTAACTAGGTTATATTTCTTAGTAATAAATTCTTAATAGAATGAACTGAACGTAGGGAAATGTAAGGTATGAGTAGTCGGTGTTACTAGGAACGGTCTAGTTTAATAGCTAATATGAATTCGCTACGGACAATGTCAACTATCTAGGAGGAATAGGGTGTACTAATATATAATGCTTATGCTCTGTGCTCTCTATGCGCTCTTTGCACGCAGGGCCAACAGAGCCAGTAGAGCTAATAGGGCATATTACGTGAGCCAGCCTTATTCTTCTATAGATTCTTCTATATGTCTAATGATGATAGTAAGTAGCGTCCACGTAACTCGTGACCGATCTCTCTCAAGGCTACATCTAATATATAGAAGTATAGTAGTAATTACAGTAGTAGTAGTATAATTCTATTGAGGCCAAAAAGTAGTAGGGGATCGAGAACCTATGTCCTTTATATACAATGTGTGTTGCCCGCGATAATCGACCATTTAAGTACATATAGCCTAGTTATGTAAAATAAATAAATAATCCTAGGTAAAATAATGGGGCTATCGTGCCAGTCACTAGGCTAAAAGGGAAAAAAACAAAAAAAAGGTAATATTAGAATTAACATTATTCTATGCTAAGGATCTGAACGAAATAATGGTTTACTAAATCCTTCAATTATAGTCTTCCTACATTATCTAGATAACGGGTGAAAGGCCTATAGTCTTCAACTGCTGGTGATATTGTTTGATGATGATTTTATATCGGAGAGAACTCCAACATCTTGAGCAGTAGTTGAGGATTCTTTGCGGAGTCGATCTACCTCCTGCTGAAGTGAAATAATGTAATCGACTGCCTTTTCCACCGTAATCGCTCTAGATGGCCCTCTCTTCTGCCTGTCGACCGAACCAATTTGGGGCACTACACCTTGGAGGGCTTGAATGGCTCGCGAAAGTCGGTTTCTACGATTCCGTTCGTTTATCACATGCGTCCTTTGTTTCGAAAATGTGTTGGAGACAAACGATTCTGAATAGTTGAGGCCATGATAGGAGTGACTTCCTTCCTTGATGCATCCATAGTTTGACTTGACAGCCAGAGAATGGTACGAAGATTGTGCTGCAGGCTCTTCTTGAGCAAGAATCAGACATCTCAACTGTATTTAAGTGGATTGGACTTATAACGTACGAGATTCAACTCGCTCCGTGGGACTGTTCTTTTCACACATTAAAGAATATAGGGCAAATATATGCTTTTGGGTGACGCTTGAATCAGGTGTTGTCTGCTTGAACTCGGTCAGCGTGCTTCTTAAACGTAACAGGAACACTGATACTAACGATTGAAGGCCCCATGTATCATTTCGGAGAATACCTAGATGTGCCGGTGATGAGGATCCGAAAAAGACAATATCTGACCTCGAGGATATACACGACCTTCGGGGGCACGAAAGGGGGAGGAAAAAGAAAGACAAATAGATTTAGAAGAGCAAAAAATTAGAGGATCTTTCTAACGTAACGCGGTATTGTGTAGGGTGGTGTGTCACCGTTCCCGTTATATTCGCTGGCCTGGAGTAGGAGAAGCTAGGCGTCAAGTGCAGAGGATTCATTAAGCCAACAAACTAGCCGAAACTCATGCTGAGCGAATATAATTCCTCGAAGCAATTTGATTGAAGAGGTGTGCCTGGTTGGGGGGGGGGGGGTTTCATAAGCGAATGAGACCTCGTCGATGACTAAGTATCAGCCGTTCCCACTGAAATATGGCCGAGAAGTATTTACTTTAGCATTCACTCCGTGAACGGCGCTTTTTCCTTCCCATTTTGAGAGAATGGGGTTGCATAGACCATTAAGCAGGGAAGGGTTTGTCCGACTCCGATCAAAAGGTGATCAATCAGCGAACTACGAAGAGTAGTGGGGAAGTAAATTTGCAACGCCACCGAATATGAGCCTTAACGTAGCTACAATGCAGATGTCGCTAAGATTTTCTCCTGGGAGAACTCAACATTTCCTGGAGAGACACCTTGTGGGGGTAATGGAATATAAAGAGAGAGCTAGTCCTGTCTGCATCTTAACTCTTTTCCCCTCTATTCGACAACAGCAGAATGGCTGCCATAGACGGGGATTCTGCGCCGACTCTAAACTGCCAGTGAAGAAAAGTGGCATTTTCCCCTTGACCGAACTAACGAAGACGTCTGGAAGCGGGGCATGTAGGAAATAGCTGATTTACGCCTGGCTATGTAGACGTTGCTGACGAGTACCACAGAATCTAGGTACTACCGATCATAGGACCTTTAAGCCTCTGAAGATTGATGAAAACGAGAATACTCATTATAGAAGTAATATTCAGTTAGGTTCTCTCTCTCTCTCTTTTTTCAAACGAAAAATATAGGGTCTGATTAATTTTACAGGGTCAGAGAATGCGATCGGGCGGAAGAACTCGCAGAAAAGGTACCAATTGCACTGGGTAGATTGTTTGTTGCGTAATTGCGGTCACATGGACGACTAGGTCTCTAAACATAGCCACAGCGTTTTGACCTGATAGGCGCTCCCATTGACCGCGAGTGGATAGCAGATGCTAGTTATCTGGTGAATCCAATTGAATGTATTTAGCTTCAGTAGAGTCTAGCGCTCTGTCACTGAACCTCTCTAATTCGTGGTCTTCTCGTTAGCTATATGAGATTTCGGGGTCTGTTCTCTCCTCAAGCGGTCTGGTGGAGATGACAGCCCGCTAGAGGTCGGCTTTTGGCGATGACATGGCAAGCGACATGATTACCTATCGTTGCCTGGAGTTGAAGTCGACTACGATGAATCCTCGTGAACCAGCATCTAGGTTTGAAGTCATATCATTGTCCGAGCTGTGGTCTGGTTTGATTGCTTACATGCGAGCTACCTTCAACAACCCTGAACGGTATGAGTGCTCCGAGATAACTTGATCCCCCCTTTCCTAGCAATTTCCTAAACATCGATATTTCTCTACTCTGTAATATTTTCTACTACGTGTGTATTTCACGAAAAGGTCCCCTAGGCCGGTACGCAACCTAGACTTAAAGGTATGTACCCTGGCCTACAAACCCATATTCGGCTACCCGAATTTCTCTACTACGTCCCTCAACCGAAGGTGGCTGAGCCCTGATTAGCGACGCTACCGCAGCGAATCCTCAGTAGCTAAGATCTTTCTAAGGCATCCCATCGTATCTATAGCGGCAACGTTCTCGAGATTTTCAGGGATGCTTCTCAATGGTTGTCAGACGGAGAGCCGTTTGGAACAATCATTGAAAGACCAGGTAGCTCAGGGTGTTCCTAAAAATCTTGTTGAGTAGTAATGAAAAACTATGAAAACCTAGACTAAAATGTTAGCGTAATCCAGCCAACCACTCCACCCCTCCAAAAAGTTATGCCTACCAAATATCTCATTTGATGTGCATTCTTCCCTTCATGTCCTAGCACTTTTCATCGACTTCCAAAACATGGTCATGTGTCAAACCTTGCTCCATTTTTGACTGATCACTGTTTACAACAGTGATCTCTTTTGTCGCTTGGCCCATTTCCACCTCGTTTGCCATAGAATCCCCATCGAGCATGCCTGGGTTGAGAGAGAAAGCCCCGACCGGGACAAAGGAAGCGGCAAGCATGAAGGCAGCAATGATTGTGTACTGCACGCCGCCGATATTTTGTATAGCGCGATGGACGTCTCCCCCCTGGGCTCCGCCGGATTCCTGGTAGACCTTGTCTACGTAACGGCCCAGGAGCGGCGATGTGATGGCGTAGATAACGATGTATGTTGAATATAAGAATGCCATTACGGCGCCAAGCGCGGACACGTTTCTAGTGTCGGACTCGATCCGGGCCAGTGACGCTTGAATGTAGGCTGAAAGGGAAACATCACCAGCTGCCCATCCAAAGGAGACCGGTATGAACGTGCCGAATACCACCCAAGCATATTTCGACTGACCTTGTGGCGGGTACCAATATGGAAGATACCAGAGAATTAGTAACAAGAGGGCGTCGAGACGTAACCATGGAATTGGCGTCTTAACCACATTGGTAAAGAGGAAAACAAATCCAGCCCCGAATAGCTCCCCAAGATTCGAACCCGCAACCATAATTTGATACCAAGCCGAGTTGCCTAAGTATCGCCTTGCAATGATAGGTGCCAGGCTGCTCTCGAAATAGCGATGACCGTAGAGGGCAAAAGTATATCCTGGGAGAAGCCAGATGAACCTGCGCGAGGAAAAGATGATCTTAGCTCCAGTCCAGACAGAGTCAAGAAAGAGGAAAATGCCACTGGTGACTGCCTTGAAGTAGTTCAACTTCGCGACCGAGACTGCTTCCTTCTCAAGTGGATTGGGTAATCCAGAGATAGTGAACCATACGCAAGAAGCGCACGCGAACAAAATAGGTGTGACAATAAAGGAGAAGTTGTTTCCCAATCCTGGTATCAAGGCCAATGCGGTACATAGTGAACCGGCCGTGCCTGAGACCTCGTAGAACATATGGACTAATGCATCCATACAACGTAGCTTCTCCACGTTTCCACCCACAATATCCCGGGGGATGATCCTTCGGATCAGTTCCACCATTCCATAGCCGATGCCTGCAAAGCAGTATATTGGAATAATGCCGTCTGTATTGTAGTCACCATAATAGGAGAAATCGTCTTTATCATGAGTCTGTGACCAGTTTGATGGTTTAATGTGACCACCAGTGCTCCCATCGACGATGAGTAGAATGGCAGAAAATAGTCTGAAAACGCAACTGGCAGTCGTCAACACATTCTTGGTAGCGAACCGGCGAGCCAGGGGAGCAATGATAATCGATCCAAAGCATTGGAAAGCTTGGTTCAAGCCCGTAAGAAGGCCGATCCGTTCAAAACTGATTGACGTGGTATGATGGCTAGCGGCGTCGTAATCGTACCGATTGGTAGCCAGAGCAATGATGGAACCGGTAAAAGCCTCCAGACCAAACTTTGTAGAACATGATACCAATTATGTAGCGTATAATATTCCGCTTCTCAATGGGACTAAAAGCCTTCCAGTTACGTTGAATTGTTGCCACGGGAGAATACATAGTGAATTTTGCAAAATAGCTTGGTTTTTGAGACACCTGCCCATGAAAAAAAGCTCTCTTTATCGAGAATTTATATATGCACATCAGCCAGGTTTCGATTTATTTCCTTTTGCCTCCTTGTGCTCCTGATATTTCTATTTGCGAATTGGAATCCATATGCTATGCACGTGGGTGCGCTCTGAGATGGAGATATACAGGTCTGCTGAAGACCTCAGGGAGGGTTGCTATTATCCTGCCTTCATCCACGAGGCATTCCATAACCTCATTGGTATTGCCAAGAACGACTTTGGACGCCAAGCGCACCGCAAGGCTTGGCCCCTTTCTCCGCCCGCAAAATGTTGCATTTGAAGGTCTCCGCCTCAGACATGTTAACTATGACTTATTCGATGGACATTTGAAAGATGATTGGAAGGTGGAGCTTCCCAGGCTTTGCATGCACCTAGCAGTTGCAGCTACGTAGTACAACTAGGAGTTCTTGTGCTCGATGATGCTAGGCGAGTGGGCAAAGCTATTCTGCTGAGCTAGCTGAACAATTGAAGCATCAACGACAAAGCGACCATCCATACCAGCGATGTCACGGTGCCCGTCGAAGCTACACTACTGGACTTTATAAGATACCGCAAAGTAACGAATAGCAGGTTCATTGTGTGTATCGTGCACTCTGGTATCCCGAACAGTGGAAGCTCGTGTGAAAACAAGAGAGAATTGGGCTAACAGACAGGAGTCCGTTTGACCCTGATGGACAATTGTGCACTTACTAGAAGATATGGACTTTCGCATATGGGACACAGAGGATGGGCGTGCACGGGAGAGCCTAAAGTCGGAAGACATTCTCTCATTCAGGGCGCGTGGCATAGTCGAAGCCTTACAATCCTGAGTACTTTTTGGGTAGGACATGGGTGCGTCAGCGTAAAATCGACTAGCAGACAGGGTTTCCATCTGATTGTATCGTTTGTCAGTGTCTACTTTGTGATTGTGTTTTTCATTACCTTATGAGGTGTACACAGTGGATCAAGTGCCTTCAATAACAAAGGGTTAGCTCTTTCTTGGCCCTCGACCTGTTGACAGGGTCGCGAGAGCACCATTGGGGCAAACCACCTGAGACGCTAGGCGCTTCACCAACTGCGCAAACTGCCTCAACCTCGTTGTTCCTGCAGATCCGTGACAGGATAGCGACGGAATAGGAGGTTTCAGGAATGCTCTTGTGGTTACAGGCCAATGTATATATAAACAGGCAGAGTCTCTCTGAATAGCCAGGGGGACAGAACACAATCAACCAGACAGGTCCACAACTCAACCTTCGTACAACACGACCCTAGATACACTTTCCCATCGTGGAGACTGGACGGAAGTAGTGCGAGCCCACCTGCTATCAGCGAGTGCAGTAGTGCAGACGCTTGAATTTCTTTCTTTTCGGCGAGATCAATGAAGGGCGACTACGACTCAGCCCACATCCGAGTCGCGCTCGCTCATCGTCGCAGGGGACTTGAATTGGATATCACTAATTGTGGTGGGGAAGGGATATTGGCCTATCTCCGACACAGGAGCAAGGAGGCCAAGGAAGCCACATGGACGGAGCGTGTGACTCATGGTAGTTTGGAACGGTTGAGTAAAGATGGTTTCTGTCTAAATCTAACCGTCCTATGGCCTGCGGGACAGATAGTGAGAAATGATTGAGCGCGAATTAGGTGGGTTCAACGACAAAGCACAAGACTCAACCGGAAATCTGAACCTTGCGGCGTAGCTTTCAAAATCAACGGAACGAAGATTGTTGCTTCTAACCTGGAGAGCCGACCTCTTTAAGCATCTCAGCAGATTTACGACTATGTTCCCTCTGAGTGTCAGTAGACCCAACAAATATGAAAGTCTATTACGTACCGCCGAGATGCCCAAGGTTTAAGGATGAAGTTTAGTGTAGTAGCCTTCATGGCTGTTGACAGCTAGCTGTCTCGTCCACCTAGAAAGAGGTTGACGAAAACCTATAGTCGCACGGAGCTCGGTGTCGGTGAGGCCGCAAAGCAAACAGCGCGTAATTGGTTACGTTGCTAATTTTACGGGATGACTGACCTCCAGCAGCCATTCTATGGGTTGATATAGTCCAAGGGAATTTTCTGAGTGTTGTTCTAGACGACAGCAAACGGTCTTCTATTCCGTGAGAAAAATATATTGCGGCGAGCTGGTGTGAAGAGAGCCAGAATGTAGGAGCGTGCGGTTTGTGTCAAATCGTAGGGCAATTCTTTGCTCTGTCACTGGCCCAGTAGAATACTTGCCATCATCCAGCCAACGAAAGTGAATCGATAACTTCTCATACTAGTGAACGAAATCGGACTACCAATTTCCGAATCCAATAAGCTTCTAACTCTTCTTTCACAGATTGAATGTCTATTGACAACTCTGATAGCACGTCTGATGGCTGCTCATCACGGCTGAGTCTGCTTGCGCAACATACCGGTGGACTGGCGTCTGCGAGGAAATGTACGTCGCTTCGGTAACCTTTCGACATGGTCGAGAAGCTTCCAGATTCTATCCACGAGATCCAACATTATGCAAGCACCAAAGTTCGATTGTTCTGTGGTGGTTGCTGTGAGCATCCTGACGAGCACGGGCCACAAGGCGGTAACACCAAGGTCATGGTGGGGGGGAGGGTCATAGACAATTACTCGATGGGGTCTAGCGTTTTGTCACTGGGCGCTCCCAATTGGCTCTTTCCCTATGCTCTCGCTGTCCGCTCCGCGGGCTTGAGAATAGATGAGGAAGTCTTGCCAAGCAGTGCTTTCTCCTGCCAGCACAGAAAAAGAGATACCGGTAAAGACACAGTGGTGATAAGAGGTCGGGAAAATATCGCTTGATATCTTTGTGATAAGCTCTGTAGAAGAGGGGAGCTAGATGAATACCGCTCTTATCGCGTCTGCTCTTGCATGAGTCTGCTCTATTATGGACGATGAATCGCTACAACAAATCTACGGCGTATATACGACAATATTAGACGGCTAGCGAAGTGACAAACGCGGCGAGGGATAAAGCCAAGGCACGAAGGCGGAGGCACTCCCTAATGGATGGGCCGCATAGGACGAGTCACTTAGTCATTGCGATATGTCAGGCGGCGGCTTGCTGGCCGGTCGATGGGTCTTCACGTCACCACATTTGCCATCCTTCTAGCCATTATCCTTCTTACCTATGTAGTTCAGTGACGGCAACGCACTCTTCTCTCCCTGCGGATTGTGAGGGGCGAAGGCGACCTTGAAGCTCTCGGGGTCAAACGCCTCAAGGATTCTCAAGGTCTCCTCAATGATTTCATCCGTAACGAAATTACCGTCTGCGAACTCCCTTACAACCATATTTTGAACCCGAATGCATCGCCTCTTCCTGCGCAACAGCTCCTCCTTATGCCCCATATACAACGAATCAGCCTTACTACCAGGCTATTGTCCCGTCAATGTGACGAATCTGATGGTTCGCTGAGAACGACTCATACGAGGGGTGTGCCAGCAAACCCAGGAAGATACGACAAGTCGGATAGCTGCGGTGGGGATAACTTGAAGACCAGTCAGGATACTATCGACACCGAGTGCAATTATAGTCATGATCCGCAACAGCTGCGTCCACGGTCATGGTGGTGCGCTAGCTGCTACCGCTAAATCCCAGATGTAAGCTCAGGCAGAAGAATCAAATGAAGAGGAAGAGCCTGCCGAAATCCAGGCTCAAGGGAAGCATGCCAGGAAGGCCTGGTTGAGGTAACAGTTGGGAAGAAGGCAGCAGCAGCAGTACGACGAGGATGCACAGGAGGCGAGATAGGCTGATGCTAGAAGGCCGTTGTGTAAGTTCTCATCATCAAAAACTCCCTTCGCTGATGACATGACAGGGAGACGAATGATCGGCCGGTTCAATCCGAGATGGAATTATCGTAGCAGGACACCGTGATGGAGATGGTGGAAACTAAGCTAGATGCGGGAGATATTGTTATAGTTCGTTTGAGAACCTGCCGTACTGGTTAATACTCTTTCGATTCTCTGCTCCATAGAGTTTATCTAATACCATTACTTTCATTCTCTGTTAGAGAGATTTTCGTAGCTTTCGATTATTTAAAAATTTATATTTAGTTAAAATTAGGGCCCCATTTAGTCACCCGAATATATTATAACAAGGCAAGGTGACTGTGCCGTGCTGGGGTGATGGCGAACTGGCAGGGCAGAGGTCTATTAGGTCACATGTTAAACCTAATTAGAGAGCTGAGAGCAAGACAGTTTATAGTGCTGGTAGACTGTCATTGATTTTACAGTTTAAGGGACAGAAGAATAACAAATACTATGGTATTTTAATGCAGTCTACCTAATACCTAAGTGTTTTATCAGTTTAGTTCTATCCTTCGACGCTGCCGCTGTGTTAGGTGTTCGTAGCCCTAGTGTTAAGTCTGACCACCAAGTTTTGCACCAACCATGTTTTACACCACGCGTTCTACCACCCCACCACCTCTCTACCAACTCAATTAACCAACTGCCACTCAACTAATTCGCCTTTAATCACGCGTAAATGGCCTCGAATCGAGAGGCTAGGATTCAGCAAGCAATCTCTGACTATTAATCACGTTAATATCCTAGTATTCGCGCAGCCGCAGCCGCGAACGATGTCTACCACTCCACGCTCGTCCGCCGACTACAGGGCACTCAATCGGCCGCGTTATCCCACGAACCACAGTAGATATTGTCAAATATATAGGAGGAACTATTAAAGAGATGGATACTCGACCTTAAGGCACAAGGACATCCTCCTAGCTATTCCACTGTGCGAGATCTCGCTGGTGTAATTAGTAAGGTAAATGGCGGCCCTAAACGCGTTGAAATTAATTGGCTACCACGGTTTATTCAGCGACATCCTAATATCCGTTCAAAGCTAGGTAGGAAGATCTATATTAAACGCGTTAATTATACACTTCCTAAGCTTCTGAAACAATGGTTTTAGAATCTATAGACGATTAAAGAGCGATATTCAATTCAACCTAGTCACACCTAGAATATGGATGAATCTAAATTAGCCCTAGACGTTT